GGAACTACACCTCAATATCTGGGAAGTTACTGGAGCATACCCTAAGGAAGGCCATTTGCAAGCATTTGGAGGAAGAACCCAGCCAGCCTGGATTTATGAAAAAAAGATCACGTCAAACAAATCTGATTTCCTCCTATAGCTAAATAACTACTTGGGTAGATAAAGAGAATGCTGTGGATATAGTGAACTGGACTTCAGCAAGGCCCCATGTAACCATCTCATAAACAAACTGGAGACATGTAAGCTAAACTACTATACGATGGATAGATAACTGGCTCAATAGCTGCAAGCAAGGGTAATTATTAACCAGTCCATGTCAGAAAGCCAGGAGGTTTCAAGTAGAGTCCCACTGTGGTCTGTCCTGGGCCTAGTGCTGTTCAATGCATTTATTAACAAATTTGGATGCTGGCATAGAAAGCTTCTTGAGCAAGTTTGCAAACAACACAAAACTGGGAAGGATCGTGAATATGCTGGAAGATACAAGTGCAATTCAGAAGGATCTCAACAGATTGGAAAGCTGGGCTAGAGCTAACAGGATGAAGTTCAAGGCAGACAAATGCAAGGTGCTACACCGGGGGCGGGGGCGGCAATTGCTGGATGTCAGCAATATGGAAAGGGATTTGGGAGGCTTGGTAGATCATAGACTCTATATAAATCTGCAGTATGGTGCAGCTGCACAAAAGGCAAATGTGGTTTTGGGGTGTTTCAACAGAAACATTAGGTGCAAGACATGGACAGTGACAGTGCCTCTCTATTCAGCACTGTTTAGGATTCATCTGGAGTATTATGTGCACTTCTACACCCCACATTTTAAAAAGAATGTGTAGAAGTTACAGAGGATCCAGAGATGGGCAAAGATGATAAAGAGGCTTGGAAAGCAAGTCATACAAGGAGAGACTGAAGGAACCTGGCATGTTCAGCTTGTGGAAAAGGCACTTAAGAAGGGACGTAATGGCAGTCTCCATACCTGAAGGGCTGCCATAAAAAGAGAAAACACCTTTTCTCTCTTGCTACAGAGAGAAGGACACAGACCAATGGCTTAAAGTTGCAGCAAAGTAAGTTTTGGTTGGATATCTGGAAAAACTTATTCACTGTGAGAATAGTATGACAGGCACTGGGTGTTAGCCCAGGCTAGGAATTTTGACTTGGGTGCACCAGTGCTTCTGCTGGAACCAGACTCAAAGGTTCCTGGCTGGAAGATCTCGTCTCTCTGCTCAGGGTCAGACCAATCACCAGATTTGGGGGCAGAAAGGAATTTTACCCTATGGTGAGATGTATGTACTATGGGGCTTTCTGCCTTCCTCTGTAGTAGGGGGCAAGGCCCCCTACTTGGAATCTCTTAAGCATATGTCAACAACATTTTATAGAAGCAGGACATTGGCTGCTATGGTTTCCCTGTTTTAACTGAGAGGTAGATTGGGGTGTTATGTCTGTTGTGTTAGGCTTGACAGTAGTTTTAAGTCAAGGTTAGACTATGGATTGCATAATATGGTCTGGATAGGAATGATCCTGGCTCAGGAAAGGAAGAGTTGAACTAGATGACCTCTCGAGTTTCCTTCCAGCCCTACTTCTCAATGATTCGCTATATTAATAGGAACCTTGCAACTCAACTGAGGTTAGCGAGGTTGCCATGAGAGACAGCTGAGGGGCTTCTACCTGCTGGGGAGTTTAACTCTCCCCTGTGCCTAGTAGCTCAGCTGAGTCCAGACAAACCCAGATGGTTAGCTCCCTTGCCCCACAGCTTCTTCAGAAGTGCCAGGACACAAGAAGTTATAGGGCTCCCTGTGACCTAGCACCTCAACTTGCCTTACCACATAGCTCCCAAGGAGACAGTATGCCTTGTTTCCCTCTGGTTTTAAGGGTTAAAACATTAACATCCAATTAAAACAATGACCTTTGGAATTGTCAAAGACATACAAACAATTAAAATAAATAAATAAATAAATAAATAATACCCAACACTGCAAGACTCTTAACCACAACTACCCAATGTTAGGTGTCATGATTACTTATATCAGTGGTTCTCAACCTTTTTTGTACCAGGACCCATTTGTAAACATCAATGGCCAGTCCTGACCTAGTGCCCCCCACTCCTGACCTGCTGCCCCCTACCCCTAGGCCCCAGCATGTGTAGGGCAGGGGGTGGGGTGTGTGGGGAGCATGGGGAACTCCAAGCAGCTCCTTGTAGGCTGAAACTCTGAGTTTGTTTGCGACCCTTATATATATATTCTTGCGACGCACTTTTGGATCGTGACCCATGGGTTGAGAAACACTGACTTATATAATCAGTTTTGAGGAACATTATTCATACATGCATAGATATTCTCGCAAACTTTAACCACCTTCTTGTTAGCTTTTAAAAACAATCAATAAGTTGTGTTCGGTGCTATCATTTTTTTTGTTTGCATGGATCATGTTATTCTATATATAGGCATCTTTGCAATTTTGTGACATGACTTAAAGAAAAGATTGGCAACCAAATCATAGCCAGACCAGGCATCAAAGATGTTCCCCTCTAAATAACTGCTATTTGCATGACAAAGAGCTATGACTTGGGGAACCTAATAAATAGGTGATGCCCTTAAGTGACAATGGCAAGAGGCATTGGCAGGCATATCAAGGGAGGTACCTAGGCAGTCAGGTATCAAAGGGGAAGGGAATCTCACACAGAACCTAATGACCATGTACATCAATTTTGAAAAGAGAGAGATAGGGAGGGGCATATACCAGAATCTGGGGGCTATAAACAGATGCATTTATTGCAGGACCAGTTGTGAGACTTGTCTTGGAATGAAGAAATCAGAATATTGGCATGTCCACACATCACCCTTCCAACTAAATTTAAAGAACAGCTGAATATACCACTCCTCTTCTGCCACCAGATGGCCAGAGAAAGTATATCCCAGAATGCCTTGCGCTGGTCAATTTTCTGTAGGTTCCCCCAACTCTGCCAACACTGAGCAAAGCATCCACTGGTGTGCAAATTGCACGGAGTAAAAATTTTGAGAGAAGGATTTGCATGATTCACTGCAAAGCTTATACCCCCAACTGCCCATCTGCATTTCTACTGGATTTGTGCCACCACCACTGACTAACCCACAGCTTCTGCTACCATCAGCCACTGTAGGTCCATATGTAGTCACTGCCTTGCAGACCTTGCTGGTCCCGTGTTATGAACTTGTAAGCTAGATTAGGTGAAAATGGCAATATCCATGGGCTCCGATTGCTCCCGTGGCTTCTTTCATTCACAGTAAGGTCAAGGCAGCAGCACTTACAATAGAAGCTCAAACGTGCTTGCTGCCACACAACATGCGGTACTTGGCTATGTCAGGCTCCTAATCCACGGTAGCCCTGAAGATGTTCTAGCTGCAGGTAGGCACACTGTGGTCAGGCTGATGTGCAGCAGCTCCAAACCACTGGGGTGCTTCTATATGAGGGAGACTAGTAACAAGGGGTGAGAGCAGATTGTAATGGCTACCTGGGATGACGAGCAGCAGTGTGTACAGATCCATACATCCAGGGGCACCTTCGTGAAGATTTATGTCAAGCTTGTCCCACATATACGGTAGTGGACAAGAAACATGCAGGTGCCCTTATCTACGGAGAAGCAGACTGCTGTAGCTACATGAAAGCTGGCAACCCCAAACTGCCTTCAGTCTGTGGCAAACCATTTTGCCACTGGCAAATCAATGGCTGCAGTGGCAGTGCTGACGTGTCTAGCAATCCAAATTGTGACAGCCTTGTACATTATACATCTTGCCAACTCACAGGAGGCAATGAACAGGTTTGCCAGCTTAGGGTTCTCCAACTGCACTGAAGCTGTCAACAGCACACACATCACCATTATTTCCCCTGTGTACAATGGCTGTGGATTTATCAATGCTTCAGTAAGTTATGTACCACCACAGCCATTTCAGATACATAAAATGCCAGCTAATCAGGCAGGCTGCACAATGCCAGAATATTTAGGAGCTCCCTCCTCCCTGAACTGATGGACTGGAGAGTTTGCCCCTGGTGTGCCCAACAAAGGTGGAGGGAGTGACTGTACCCCCTTTACTAATTGAAAACCCTGCCTACCTGCTTTACCTTAGATGATGCAAGCTTTTGCTGGGGACCTACTGAAGCAACTGTTTAACTACCAGCTTAGCAGCTGCAGAATGACTGTGGAGTCTGTTTTCGGACATCTCCAGGCTTGCTGGAGGTGCATAAGGACACACATGGGTGCTAGCAAGAGCAACGTGCCCCAGTTTGTGGTCTTCGCGTACATGCTGCACAGCATCTGAGGCCAAGGAGGAGGCCCTGCCAGTCAAAGCAGAGCAAACCCCCAACTCCTACAAATTTTCAAAATGAGGCCAGTGACTCAGCACTATGCTGGCAAGATGCAATGGCTGACCATTTTCCAAAATCTGAGGTGAAACAGTGACTTATAAAATGATGTCATGTACTGCTGCATCATAAATATTGACAACTAAACTCATGCTCTCATATGGTCAGCTCCAGCATATGCAGAGAACATGGGGGAGGGTGGGGAGCAATAGCTACAGAGTGTGCAGGGTTAACATGTTAGCTGGATGCTGCTCTGTGCTCCCAGGAATGTGGAAAGGTGCTGTGGGGAGGTGGGAAGTGAAGGGAGAAAGCGACAAGCTTGGACTGTGAGTTGCGCACAGGCTCCACAGAGGTATGATTGCCCGCCAGTTGCTGAGCTATGCTCCCAAGGCTGTGGAAGGGGAGGAGAGAAGGGAAGTAGTGAAAGCTTGGCCCGTGCAAGGCTGTAGGCTCCTCCAGGCACAGATGGGGGGAGGGGGATAGACAGAGAAAGAGGAATAGCTTTGGTTGGTTGTATATAGCTCTACCAAAGCCAGCTCCAGGCTGGACAAAGGGAAGGAGAGTTGGTGCTGGAACAGGCAGGCACTGACTAGAGAAGCTGAGTTATTTTGGCACTTCTCATGCCCCTGAGTGCTCCCATCTCATATATACAGTGAATGCCACAGCCAGCTTCGGCAACAGGCAGAACTTTTATTAAACAAAACAACAGAAATGTGAAAGAGGGAGGTCAACAGAAATCCTATAAACCTACATATCACATGCGTGCAGCTTTACGGTGACTTCAGGCACTGGACAGCTGCTGCAGCCACAGGATCCAACTGCCTTACAGCTTGGGTGGAGGGAGAAGGGAGTGCCCATTCCCTCCGCTGCTACTGGGGAGCCCTGTGGGATAGTGAAGTTTGGTAGCAGCATGTTCTCTGCACAGCCACCAGATGGTCCCACTTGTGGACTGAGCTATGGGATGACACACCATCTCTGCAGATTCAAAGCAGAAATAAGGCAATACATAGACTACTCTCAGCCTTCACAGACTCCCCAAGCATCTTCTTTGTACACTCAGCAATGGCCCTGTAAAGCTCCTCAGCCTACACACGCCACCAGGTGAGCCTGAAAGTATAGGAAAATGAACAGTTCATTGTTTTCTTTGCTGTTACCCTGATGACATAAACAACCCCCCAAAAGTTGCAACTTGCAAGACCATCCAGCCAGTGGACAGGCTCATTTGCCTTGATGAATCTCAATGTGGTAAGTTCACTCTTCCCTTTGCTTCCTAGGCACCCGGGTCACTGCACTGCTTAAGATGCACAGCTTGAGAACGCAATGAGAGTACCCCCCTCCCATGCCCACTGCTTTCTTGAGGGGCTGATCAGACTGCTGCTGGGAAGAGCTCACAACTGTATAAGCTCTGTGTGATATGCTGAAGGATCATGGTAGGGTGGGGGCCTGGAAACCTTTTAGGGGTGTAAGGTATGCTGCTACCATTTCTCCACCCATTCTGCAGACTCAGGGGCCCCAGCCCACCTGTGCCCCATCCTCTCCTACTGTGAAACAACCCTGGACTGCACAAACCAAGTTTGCTAGAAAGGGGGGCCAGAGGTAGCTCCGACTGACTCTCAAGGCCAGCACTAGCATTTATAAGTCCAGGACAATGTAACCAAGCTGGGACCACTTAGAGGGAAACATGAACTGATGTGATGATGAAGAAGCAGACCTGATGATTTACAATGTACTTGTTTTCTCCTTCCCTTGCCTGCTGGCTTGTAGTGCATTGCTTGTAATAAAGTACAAGCAATCTATAATGAATTATTTTTGCACAGGAGTGAAGGCCAGCTCTGCTACTTTATTAGGGTGGAACACAGGCAACAAACTGAAAGCAAAAGCAAAAGGGGTGCGTGGCACATTACAGTAGTAGTGCATTGTCCTAACTTTTATGAAGCCAGGACTAGTGCCTTACAGCAAGCTCTGAGCACATGACCAGGGCAGCAGGAAGGGCCCCTATTGCTGTGCTCTACCTGTCTCTATCTGTTTTTTCTAGGGGGGTGGATGAGGCATTAAGTAGATAATTAGTATAAATGGCATCAATCTCTAAGTGAAATGGGACCCACGTGATGATGGTTCTTGATGCAGATGCCCTCCAAAAAAGAGAAGTCAGCACTGGTTTCTTTAAACCATTAAAGTGGTACCTATTAGCATACCGGGCAGGGCAGGCCAAGGGTACAATGGGGCAATCCTAGTGCAACCATGTGGTTCCAGTGTAGACCCAATCTGCAATTCTGTGGGGAGCCTGAAGAAGGGGCCTATGGTTCAACTGCCCAGTGCATCACTGAGGTGCTGAACTATCCCAGCTCCTTGCCCACAACCCCCTCCAACTGCCCAACTCCTCTTTACCCAAACATAATGGTGGTCTACAACCTACCATCCCCAAAAGTGATATGTTCTGTCACCAGCTGGGTCTTCTGGAGCACTGGGCTGGCTGGGATGAACACAGGGGGAGGGCAGGAAATTCCAGGCCCTCATTGTCTGAGCCCAGGTTCATTTCAGAGTCCGCACAGGTGGGGCAGATAGCCAGCAAGTCCGTAGTCTGGCTCTCTGCCTGGATTGCTTTGCTGGCCTGCAAGAGCTACATGTCTTTGGAGTCCTTGTCACATTCCCAGGAGGCATGTGCTGCCACATCCACTGTGTTTCCAGAGAGGAACATGTTGCTGGCCAGTTACAGGAAATTCTCATAGTGGGAGCATATGAACCTTCATGAGCCAGATCTAGTTGCCATCCTGTGTCCTTGCAAATTGCTGCCTCAGTACCTTGCACTTGAAACAGCACTGGGCCCAGTCACTGTCTTGTTCCTAGGCTGTTATTTCTTTTGTGATTTATTCAGACTGCCTTGTTTCAGTAGTTTGATTGTAATGCTTGCTGGTTCTTATCGTGTAAACCTTTTGGGGGTTTTGCCCTGTAGAAAGTGACAAAAATTGCTGAATGCTCATGCTTTGTCCCACAAGGAAACATTTTTTCCTGCAACAAAGACTGTATCTGTTCATAGGTTGGGAGAAGGGCAAAGCACTTCAGAAGAAAGACAACCAAGGATAGGCATCCATAACCTCAGTGCAAGGTGGAGAGCCCCAGCAAGAGGCTGGAGATCTTCCAAGAATAGCAATAAGACACTAACATAACTCACCAAGAGGCTGTTTCAAGTTAAAGAGCAGGGTGAAGTATCTTTTCCTTGTCTTTGCATATCTGCCATCAAAAGCTACCAGATTGTTTCTTGTTTTTATGTAAAAAAAAAATCTGTTCTGCTTCATACCTTGCTGCTTGTCATGTGATAAGGGTGATTTCAAAGTACTAACAGCAATAGGAACACCCTTTCTGCAAAGACAGGGATCCATCCTCATTTTCTTTCGCAAACCCAGGAAGATTTTAAGGCTGAAGCAACTCCCCTCTGCAAGGTCTGATGAGGGGCAGATGAGACCAGGCTTCCCAGAGGAAGAGGAGTCTTCTATGGGCAAAGTCTAGTCATGGCCCTGAGGTTACATAGCAAGAGAGTCTGGAGCTCCAGTGCTCACCTCAGACGGGTCTGACATAGTAAGGTACTCACATGGGATGCAGGTGACCTAGGTTCTGATCCTAATAAGAATCAGGCAAAGCAGATCTCTCATGCACAAGTGCCCTAACCCCACTTATAGCTATTCAGGGTTTAGGTGGGTCACCAGCTTATTTTTCTTCACTCCACAGGCATTAATAGTGGCCTCCTTTTAATGGTCTTCAGGTTCCATTAATCAAGCTAACCTTCCTCAAGGCAATTTTGCTGTCTGGGTCAGCTAAATGTTAGGTTCATAGTATCTCACAAAACTAGCTACAGCCTATGAAAGCTCAGACCTCTCTGAACCAGTTACTCTACACTATAAAAAGGTGCCACCATGCTCTGCCTTCTGATGTTTATATGATGATTTATATAGATTTCTCATAACCCACCATCTCCAGCCCCTTCAGTAGAAACAGAAGAGTGAAAGTGACCTCCAATGTCAAGTACTATACCCTACTACTACATCATAACTCTTTTCATCCACCTACCTCTCTGATTTGTCAGTGGTTTCAGGACTACAGCACACAGATGCCCAAGATGGGTTATGTGGTCGTACCGGAGATAGAAGAGGGACTACTGCCTCAATGAATTAACACATCATTATTTCTGGTGGCACTCATATCAGTGGCCATCTACAATGCTACATTAAAAAGGTATATACTTATCTAATGTCCATTATCAAAAAGTTACTGCTTATCAAATACCTCTAGAACGTAGCTTATACTGCATATCAATTACTATGAGGGTCAGTCAGGAAGTAAAACCTCCTTTCATGTTCAGGGACATATAGGGTGTTCTTGTTGACTTCTAGCTTAATGTAGCCACAGTAAACTCAAAGATCTGTCAAGACCATGAAGAAACTAAAACAACATATACAAAGAGCCCATCCCAAGGTGCATAACAAAGTCTGTCCAAACACCAATTTGCACACCACAGAGGCAATCTTCGGATAGATCGTGATGCCCCATCCTCTGCATAGCCTGAACCTGGTGCCCTCCGATTATCATCTTCTTGGTACTTTGAAGGACTAATTAGGAGGGCAAAATTTTTGGGAGAGCAAAGTGAACCGTGACAGTGGTTGCACAACAAGAACAAGGACTTTCACACTGTTGGGATACAAGCCTTTGTTTACCAGTGCCCTTTTTCCACTGATAGAATATTAAAAAAAACCAACACACATTGAAAAATAGCTTGTAGTCAGTAATGATGTGCAAGTTCTCCATGCAAGTTAACAGCAATATCACAGTATACATTTAGCAAAAAATCAAGCAGAAAGCAGGGAATTGCTTAGACAATAAGCAATTCAGAGGCAACAGTTTATGACCCTGCCACCCCATCCACTACTCATACTTGAACACAAGATCCATTTTTTGCTGAAGATGAAGTCTCAAGTGTAGGTTTACATATAAATGTATGTTAATATTCCCAGCCCTCCAGTTACTCAGAAATCCAAAATTCACTCTTAAGAAAACAATTTAAGTCTACTCTGACCGACTTTATGGCCATCAGTAACACGTCCTCTCCAGGTCTTGATTAATATGCAATGAGTCTCTGAACCTCTACTAAAAACGTGCACATAAACTTCAAGCCATTGCTGGCAATGAGGGGTCCCACACCTACGTATCTCCGATCCACTCCTCCTCAGCTGCTTTTATCCTCTTCCATTGTGGGGTTAATATGTAGGTAAAGGCATATTAAGCCATGCCATGCAAGAAATCAAACTTTGCAATATGAACAGAACTGCGTGTCCCAGTTGCTTCATCTTTGTATGTGGCTAAACCACAGCAGTAGCTCCTGAACTCTACTGTCCATATATTGCCTTCTCTTAAACAGCAAAAAAACCCCTCAGCTTTCAAACAGCCTTGTTAGGGCTCTCCAAGCTAGCAATCAACACAAAAGTATCTCTTTCCATGTAACTGATTGTTTATGCAAGTTATGCATAGTCTCATAAAACTGCCTTAGCCATCTTTCCAATTATTTAAACTAGTCTCAGAGCTCCCTCCCACCCTCCCGAACTATGTTACTATAAGTACTGTTTTCTTCATTCCCCTATGAATCTTCCTGGATTAGAGATTTGTGTGTGCATGCATGCACACACACGGATATAGTAGCCTGATAATACCAGCTCCCTACCTGTACTAAATATTCCCTATGCTATAAATCCAGTCTCAAAAGGTTCACAGCAACATACAGTAGAAAATTTTGTTCAGTTCATAATCTCCAATGAATAAGTCCTTTGTCAGGACTGATGTTTCCAAATATGTAGCCCCACTATCCTCATTCTTCATGGCATTCAGTTTATATACACTTATTTGACTATGCACAATTTAGAAAAATCCAATTACTGACAATCTTTCTTCTGTCACCCTAAATGTTGCCATATGCAATCTACAGGCAGTAGTTCATGTTTTCCTTCCACATGATATAAATGTTGAACTGGAGATCCCTGCTGAACCTTCCCAGAAACATTTCTAATAATGACCAATACCTACTTGATGATCAAAGAAAAAACAGGGTTTAAAGCCATTAAAACTTAATTATACAGGCCATATTATGCTAATTTTAAAATTTCATTTTAAGGCTGGAAATTCAAACCACTTCAGTTTTCTGCAGTAGAGTTTTGCCAGCAAACATTATATTCTTTAGTCAAATCCTACTTTCAGTAAAAGCCATGTTGATAGATTTCAACGGTTAAAAAATGATGGAACCAAAGACTCATAACCAGCCACTGGTTAACATTTTTATTAATGGAGAGAGGTAGTTAGCCATGTTAGTCTGAAGTTGGGAAGATGATAGAGCAGGGTCTTGCTCTGAGAGGCATGAACTTTCTTAGACTACAGTCCACTTCATCAGATGCTACTAAAATAACCAGGTCCATTCATTAATGACTTGGGATAGAGATTCAGGAAAAGAAAGTCCCGATCCACTTTACAGATAAAAACAAAAAACTGAGACTACCAACACTTTAAAAGGAAGAGGATTACAATTGAAAAGTATTTGAAAAAGTTGGAAAATGGACAGTAGACACCAATATGAAATTCTGAGACAAAATGCAAGGTGTTTCACCAGGAGTTAGGGGAACCCCAAGAGCCAAACAAACACAGAATGGAAAATACTTAAGTTTGGGGGCTATAGTGGTTCAAGCCAAACACGAGTCAGCAGTGCGATACAGTAAACAAGTAGGAAATACAATTCTGGATTGAATTAATAGAAGTACTGTATGCAAGAAGTTGATAGTACCACTTTACACAGCACTCCTTAGGCCTCAGCCAAAGTACTGTATATAATCCTGGAATCTGCATTTTTTGGAAGGATCTGCAGAAATTGATTAACATACAGTGACAAAGATGACAGAGGTTGGAATGCAAGCTGCACCTAGTTCTCCCAGCCTGTCCACATAAGTTTAAATTTAAAAATGAGCAGCTACTAAGGGAAACAGGACAGCAGTTTGCAAATATCTGAAAGACTGCCATAAAGAAGAACAACTGTTCTTCCTTGCCAGAAAGAGCAACACACCAAGCAATGAGTTAAAACTGGAAAGCAGATCTAGGTTTCAAAAAAAGTCTCGGGAAAGGGAAAATAAAACAAAACAATACAAAAACAAAACCTCCTGGTATAACCATAGGACAATGGAACAAGCTATTCAGGAAAGTTCTGCAATATTTTCTTGGAGGCTTTTCAAGAATAATTACCTGTCTGGGACTGTTCAGGAACATCACATCCTACATTCATGCATGGCAGACTGGCCTAGATCAGGGTGTCCAACTGATGGCCTAGGGGTTCACTGAGGTTCTTGCTCAGTCACCACTCCCCTCTTATTGTTCTGCCTGCAACACCACCTGGGAGACTCTGGGCTCCTCCTCCCTCTGGCTGTTGCCCCCTAAAAGCAGACAGGCAAGCAGGACACTGCCACACAGCATGGGGAGCAGAGAGCAAGTCCTGGGCAACATGGACACACTATGCAGCAGCACAGGTAGGAGCATCCACATACATGACCTGGAGGCTCATGGCTCATCCTGGTGCAGTGTGCAGCCCCCAGCCACTCGAAAGTTGGACAGCCCTGAATTTAGTGATCCATGAGGTTCCCTCCCAGGAAGTGATTTTATCATTACATTTCTGGTGTTGATATTTTTCAGACTTGCCAATCTGAGATGTTTATACATATATAGGAACTTAAGTCGCAGCAAGACAAATGATTTTTCACAGCCTGTTTGTGGCGCACAGGGCTAATTTCACAGGCATTTCACAGCAGCCCCGCCCCTCATCATTGGTCAGCAGAGGGGTCTCAGGAGCTCCACCCCACACAACTGGCTGGTGGAGGGGGTGCCTTCACTCAGTCTACATCATTTCCCGTTTTTTTCTATGGTTGGTTTCAAGATACCAGATTTCCTGGAGAA